AGAACGAGCAGTGGGGAGGGGCAGAGGAAGAGGGAGAGAGAAACCCAAGCAGTCTCCACACTGAGCTCAGAGCCAGGCATGGGGCTTGATCTCACGACCCTGAGATCAGACCTGAGATCAGACCTGGGCAGAAACCAAGAGTCGGATGCCCAACCAACTGGGCTACCAGGCGCCCCAAAGCTGCTTGGGCTCTAGAAGGGGCTGTTTTTCTGAGAAGGGCTTCAAAATCAAGGGGATGACAATCTCATAGTGGATGGGGGAGTAACGAGTGTCCTTCGTACAGGAAACCCCACAGTGAGCACCCACGTTGCATTGCATCCCAGCCTGCAGGCACATGAGCCTATCCTGACAACTCCTGGAGCCTCACAGTTAAACTTTTATTCCAGAAGCACCAGATGGTGGCGCCCCATCAAGCTTTACAAGGATCTTCACCAAACCTCAGACTCTTTGCCTCCTGAATCTGTCACTCTACTGTTCCAAAGATGAAATGAAAAGGAGAGAAAACAGCTTCTAGATCACCATGGCAACCATCTGGAAACACCTGTCTCTGTTGGCAAGGGGTGGCTGAAAAGGGGGAGAATTTGAAAACCTGCAAACATCTTGTTTTCATTGACTTACAGCTAGTTGTCCAAATATTTGCATCACTCGAGGTATATGCAAAAAAAAAAAAAAAAATCATTGAATTTAGAGTGCACTTCTTTTATCGAGTACAAACATCTTCTGGTGCAATCCTGAACTTATCTGAAAATAATCTAAGTAATGTAAGTTGTAACCAGCAAAGGGGAAGTGTGTTCACTTAGTGCATGCACATTCTGGGCCCTGGGGATGTGGAGATACACGGGAGGCATGTGTTTTCTACCCTGGTGGCACTTACCTTCTAGATGGGCAGACAGACAACATGCTAGTTAAACAGGTTAACAGACTAGTGATAGGTTATGGTAAGAACTGAGGAGGGAACAAAGATGGCTGCCGCGACTGGGAAGTCACTTCAGAGTTCATAACATTTCAGCTGAGGCATGAGGGATGTAGATAATCAGCCATGGGAAGAACTGGGGTTGGGGACAGGTGGGGACAACACAAGTAATAGGACCTGCAAAGGCCCAAAGTGGGGAAGAGGGTGGAGGATCGTCAGACAGAAGGAGGCCGTGTGGCTGATGTGGGTGTGAGCACGACCATGTGGGAGGTGAGGACAGCAGGGGCAAGATCACACAGGGCCTTGAGATGAGAAAACTCCAGGGGTAAGAAGCTATTGAAGGGCTTTAAATGGGGGAATGCCAGGATTTATGTTCAGGAGATACTGCTTTGACTGACATGTGGAGAATGTATTGGAAAGAGCCAGAAATGAGGGAGGGAGATGGTCAGGAAGCTTTTGCAGGGTCCTGGTGGGAGTCTGTGACTCGGTGCCTAGTGGTGGCAGAGACAGATGGAGAAGCAGACAGACTAGAGGCATAATTTTGAGGTAGAACCAGTGGTATTTATGGCTACTTTGGACTAGGGATAGAAAGGGAATAGATAATAAATGGAGTCTTGGTCCAGGTTTGGTTCCTAGTGGGCCCAGTGATTCCTTACGGTCACCAGTGATCATTCCTCCTGTCCCTGAATGCGCACTTGGAATGGATTAACTTGGCCTCTGGAACAAGGCACTATTGTCTTGGGGAAGGCCAAGTGGAAGCCTGAGAAACTGCCTCCCTGTCTCCAGGCAAGAAAGTAAGTCAATAGGAATATTGCAACCCAGTGAGGGTGGCATATGTGAGCGTCATGCTGAAGGACCTAAAGAATGCAGGGGAGGTTATCCCATCATATATATCCCCATCAAAGTCATCAGTCGAGCCCTCACCAAATTTAGATTTGGTCCTGTCATATAACAGTGGACTACCACAGCTTTAACCACTGTCATAGAATTAGCCACAAATGGACTGCTGTGCCAGATGTGGTATTTTTTCTAGAGCTGATTGACAAGGTTCAAGATACAAGGTATAGGATTATGAAGCTAGGAAACACATTCTTTTCCATCTCTGTTGGAGAGAAAGACCAGAGTAATTCACGCTCACGTGTGACAGACAGCAGTAGCCATCAGGTGCAGCCTCCTCCAAGGGCTATGTTAACACTCTGTTAGGATGTAGCCCCAGAAGGCCTGGACTGCCCAGACCCTCCGCAGAATCCACACTGATCCACTGTATCCATGATATCCTGTTAATCAGACCAGACAAGCAAGAAGAGGCATGTAAATTGGAGGCCTTAGTAGGATACCTGTGCTCTAGCAGGTGGGAGATAATTACTGTGAATATTCAAAGACACATGGTATCAGTGAAATGTTTAGGAGTCCAGAGGTCTAGAGTGTGCCAGGACACCCCCTCCGAAGGGAAGAGCACTTGACTGCATTTTGCTTCCCCTACCATTAAGAATGAATCACAACAAAGAGCAAGTGTCGTTGGCTTCCGGAGGCAGTCCCAGGAGAATCACTCGCCAGCAGTAGGGCTAGGACTAATGGAGCCGGTCACATGTGCCATGCTGGACTTTAGAACTGCTATGGACAGTGGATACCATGTGCTTGCCCTTTCCCTCCTTTTAAATAGAGAGTATCTACTTCAGTTCTCCTGTGTCCATCCCACCATTTTCTCTTGGGTGTTGGAGGTTGTGAGGAGCCAATGTCTCTTTTGAGTTCCCTGGTCTTTATAGTGAGAGAAATAGTGTTCAAGAAGCTCTCCCTGAGGGAGCTGTACACAGGAGGAAGGCAACCTGCACCTGCACTTGACTTAGATCATGAGATCCAGGGCTTTGACCCTGACCATGATGTTGAAATGGGATGCAGCTCTAAGGAAAGAGTGAGTGTATTCTGCATGTGGGGGTATGCGAATCTTCCTCCAAATGGCTAAACATTTCTCATCTCACCTGCTCTTCTAGAGCCTTGCCACTCTTCCCAGCAAGAGATGGACTCTTCATCCCGTCCCCGTGGACTTATGTGAGCCTTTGTGACTGCCGTAACTATTAGAGGATGGTGGACGTGACACCGTGTAACTTTTGAGTTGTCGCATGAAGTGACACAGCTTCATGAGAGTCATGCTCTCTCTCAGAGTGCTGCCCACTGCAACCCTGCCATTGTGCTTCAGGTTGCCACACAGCCCCTCGGAGAGGTCACGTGTAGGTGTTCTGGCTGAAAGTCCCAGCTGAGGTTCTTAGGACCAGCATTGTTTGCCAGATAAGCAAGCATGGGAGCCTTCTGATAATCCCAGCCTCTACTTGGGCTTTGAACTGCCCCAGCTAATGTCACATGGAGCAGAGGTGGGCCGTCCCCACCAAGTGTCAGATTTGGGATAACTCTGAAGGGCCATCCCAGTCCCAGAGCTTCCCACAGGGTTGCCTGTGCACACGGAGAGGTCATGTATGAACATGGAGGTCAAGAGAGAGGTCAGGGTCAAAGGTGTTAATTGGGGAGATACCAGAACATGCTTGGTTTTCAAAGTCTCAGGTCTGGATGACATGACCTATGGAGAAAGTATTTAGAGAGATAGGGGTTAGGGCTGAACCCTGGGGCATTCCTTCGCCTACAGCTGGCTGAGAAAGGAGAGCTAGGAAGGAGCTGAAGGAGGAGACAAGTCAGGAGACAGTGGTCCAGAAGCTTCGAGAAGAGGATGTCCCAAAGGATAGGGGCTGCTGAGGACAAGATACAACGGAGCATCTGAGGGTCCGGTGACACAAGAATACTGTGTTAATGTAGGACAGGGGCACGAGCCAGTGGAGTGGTCTGGAGAGTTCATGGAAGTTCCAACCCCAACCCTTCTTTCCTGTGTCCAGAGGCCAATCAAATCCACAAAGGAGGTCCTGACCTTTCCCTTCTTGGAGTTCCTGCAGCTCTCGCTCATTCTCTATTGTCCGGGGCTCCAGGCTTGTCTGCTCAGTGGGGCTTTGGGCTTCTGAGCTGGTCTTTTGTTGTGTTATCATCAGTTCCAGGGAGTGCTTGGTTCCTACTAGAAACCCACTCAACACTCGCTGAGCGAGAGCTTGTCAATTTCACCACCAAACAAGTTGCTGAGGGCCACCCAGGAATCGTAGCTGCTCCTGGAGAAACAACATACCATCGGGGCTGTTGGAAGTTCCAGAGTGATCAGAGCTCTCAGAGAAAGGAGGAGAAGATACCAACAGATCTCCGAGGTAGGCGGCTGATGATTAATGAGAATTAACACGAGCAACAGCCTTGTGTTTCCTGGCAACTGGGGGTGCCGTGGGCACTTTGCTGTCTGTTAAACAAATGGTCTTTACTTCAGGGAATTTCTGGGGGCTGCTCCAACATTCAAAGGAGGCGCTCTCTGTCGAATGGAGCTCCGAGTGCTTGGCTGGGGAGCTCTTTCTCCTTGATGCCAGAAGGAGATGAACCGCCTCCCCCCACCCAGGAGAAGGAGCAGTGACATCCCTGCTCCTCGTCAAGCCCAGACAGGGTCCCACAATGTGGTACCCTTGCCGTGTCCTCAGCCTGGGAGGACTGCAGGGCCGGGGCTCCGCCTCACCCCTGCACGAGGAGGGAAGCTGAATGGACCGTCGGCAGGGTGGGGGAGGAGGGGGCTAAAGGTGGCAAAGCAAGGTTGTAGGGAGCAGGTGCCCGTTCCGGCATGCCCAGGGCCCAGTCTGCGGGGGCACCGCACCAGGGGTCACTGTACCCCCACGGAGGGGCATGGGCATCTCTGCGAGCGAGGTAACTGCCGCTCTGTGTCAGAGAGACTCACGGCACAGCTGTCAGGCCTTCCTGTCCCCACCCAGGGCTTTGCACCCACACTGGGGTGAGGCCCGGGACGGGATGATTTGTTAGTGCTTGCTCGGGGAGGCCAGCCACCCGCCAGAACTGCATTTACCAGCGACCTCTGACACCGTCCACAGCTGTGGTCGGGACGCCGTTCCAGGCGAGCTACGGGACCACATGCCGAAGGACAGGCCTCCCTCCGTCAGCGCTCGAGGACTGGTTTTTGTCTTTTACTTCACAGACAGCTTAAAATTGTTATGGAAAAACATTTTATTAAAACATGTTCGACTCACTTCCAATGAAATGATTAATTTTTCATTTACAGTGGTGTCCAATGTTTGTCTTCTGTTCTTTTTTTTCTTTCAAAACCAGCACCAAAAAGTAAAACAACAATACCACGGGTACAGTACGTAATGTAAGTTAACTAATGGAAAATATATACACTGGACTCTGAAATGAAGAAAAGAGAGCAAAGCAATGATATTGCTGCCGAGGATCTTTCCCTGTGTTCTGATAATATCAAGCCATGGTCAAGTGAGAGGGTTTCATTTGTACCCACAAAAGTAGCACCATAAGGTCGTAAGACTCTGCATTTAGTAACACAATCGTGCAATCAAAAAGGTACAGTACTTGAGTGACAGTACAGGGTAGTGTTAATAAAGAAACGTCACTGTTGCGATCACAGGGTTTCAATGTCTTCTGTACAAGAGCGTCAGGCTGGCTTCGCTGACATTGGTCATTGCTTGTGCCATAAACAGAAGGCGGGCTGGGGGATTTCAGAGCAACAGTGCTCTGGCATGAGCTAAAAGAGGTCAAGAAAGACACCGACGGTGGGGGAACCAACGGGGTGTTGAATAAGAACCAAATCAGTTATCTGCCTTTTGAAGGTGTGAGGCCCTTGCCAGATGCATCCAGTGGATACGGTCAAGGGACCCAGTGGGGGGTAATTCAGAGCACCAGGGAAAGGGCTCGCCTCTGGGCTTGCCCAGCTTGGGTACGAGGGTGCGCATGAGCAAACAAGGCTGCCCTGGCTTCCTTAGCTGGCCATCCTGGCTCTGCTCCTCAGTGTCTGAGGCTGCCATCTTTCTGATGTTTTGTGGTGAAGCTGAGCCCGCTGGGGGCTGGGGGGAACACGGAACCCTAGCTCCCCAAGAATTTGAGTGTTTTGTGGAATGGGGTTTGTGGGATTCTGTTGGTGGCCAAGCCTGAGCTGGGGAGGATAGCATTTTGCTCAGGCTCCGGTGCAACCATTGGGGGTTGCGGGGGGGGGGGGGGGGTTACGCTGCAGGGTGGATCACTCCATCCTGGCATTCTTTCAGTCTTTTACACACAGCACTCAAGCAGGTTTCTTGATACTTCTCGTTGATTCGAGTGGAACCGCACACATTTCTTGTCATCCCTACCACTTCTCTGTCTCTGGAATATGAAAAATCATACACTGAAACAGCCTTAAGCTAGCCCTAAAGTTGTGACATCATCAAAAACAAAAGCAGATACATGAACACAGCACCAATAAATCAGGAAGTCCTTGGAGCTGACCCCAGGGAGATCGACATACATGAGGCGCCCTGGCCGCAATCAGAGAGGCAAAGGCGGGGGGTTTATCACGGTAAAGTCCTTGAACGTAAGCACCATCAAACACCCACCAAGTCGCTGAGTGAAACAGGCCTCCTGGCATCTAGAGTCTCTCCCTCCCAGCTCCCAAAGTGGGCAGGGTCCCACCGTCTTCTGTACTCTTGTCGTTTGTCCAGGCTTCTGGAGAGGGCGCGGCTCTGTTTCGAGGGGCTGCTGGAGGGAAAGACTTTCTTCGTGCTTTTCTGAGAGTCATCCTTGCCTTACTAAGAAGATGGGTCAAGGACAACGCGTGACAGTGATGGGTCCCGCAAGGTCTGGGCTATGGGAAGGCGCGGTGGTTGTGCAGTGATCCTGGCCGGGGGGCCCTCCTCCACGGATCCTGGCACACCAGGCTGAGTGGCTTCTGGAGGAAATCAGTCCCGGGCCAGGGCGAAGTAGCCAGAGGTTCTAGAAAGAATCAACTTTAGGTAGATGGCCAAGGTCAACGGGAAGCAAAGCTTTACGAAGTACTGCCTGGAGTAGAGGCCCCCAGAAGGTAGAGGGGCCCTACACCCCGGATGAAGCTGTCCTGAGCTCACCTTTATGCCAGGAACCAGTCCCATCCCCCAAATTAACATACATCCCATTTCATAGCACCTTGAAGAAAGACTTTGTTTCCTGATGCGGTGGACAGTAGAGTATAGAAATTAAATGCCTCCCCAAACCCAGACACTTCCAGAATATTCTCCCCAACACAGGTGGTATGCAGAACTACGTGGCCTTGGCATCCTTGGCTGATAGAGATTCAAACTGTCAGGGACAAGACTTCCAAGATGAGGCCCACGATCTAGAGAACATGTTTTCAGAGATGCGCCGGGAGGCAAAATGCTGACTCTTGTGTGGTCAAGAAGGGCTCCGGCAGCCTGGTCCTCTCAGGAGAAGCCATTAGCAGAGGCTTGCTGACATCTGTCCTTCCTTCCAGGGTGCCGCCGGCTTTCAGAATAAAGCCTGTTTTAATGTAAAATGTCTCCTTTGGGGGATAATCCCCCCATGGCACGTCAAGCACCGGGAATTCAAACGTCAAAAGAAAGCCAAGACAGAAGTGCTCAATGACGTCTCTTTCTTTCGACAACGGTCTGTCAGAGGTGTTCCCTTTGAGGTACACGGAACCTTAGAAATGACAATAATTTTGTGACTCATGCCTATTTTTTCCTTACTGTAGAAAGCCATCCAGTGGCTGTTAACAATATATTAAGTACAAAAGCGCTAACAGCAAACGTCAAGTCCACGCTCAGGTTCTAAACGGCTGGATTCTTGGGACAGCCTTGTGGGTGAGTGGCGGTGTGCTCTGGGGGCGGGGGGGGGTCCCGGCCGCAGGACTGGTGTGCTCTCGGGTGGGCAGGCTTTCAGCTAGCCATGTCATCGGGATGCAGACCACGCGCTGGAGCGCCGGGGGACCGCTGGGCCCCGTGTCATGAGCTGGGCAAGGGTGGTGGTGGCTGGCGCATCTTGTTGGCATAGAAGTCCCTGCACGTCTGACAGCAGCGTTGGTACCACCGCATGTCCTGGCAGAGGTTCTTTTCTCGGATGACCCGGCAATACACCGTCCACTGGTCCCGTGTGCATTTGTAGGTCAGAGCGGCTAAGGGGATGGTGGGGAGAGAGAGAGCCCAGGGGTTACGGATGGCATGGGGACATCCTGATGCATGCACAGAGAGGGCTTGCGGGCTGACCCACTCTGGGGCTGCCCTCGCTCGCATGCTGGAGCCTTGCACGGACTCGAGGAAATATGCCCCCTGCCAGGGCCACGTGATGTCGCCTTTTTCTGCAGGGGACGCACTCCTGTGTCTAACCTGACCACCTGGCAGAGCATGGCGGTCTGGCTGCTTCCTCGGGGCAAGGGCACTGCGCACCCTACTTCTCAGCTAAGCAGCACCCACTGGTACTTTTTGGCGAAGGACGCCACCACCGCTGGCATTTATAAGAGAGGATGACATGGGGCAGTGGGCCTCAAAGGGCCCATCGAAGCAGAAGCTCACAGCGCAAGCAAGTGGCCTAAATCTCCTTCAGGGTCATCCTGCGGAGAGAAGGTCCTGCCGGAGGGAGGTCTCTGGAGCATCCCAAGGAGGTTTGTGCATGCAGAGCTTGCGAGTGCCCCTCTGCAAGCTCAAAGACCACCCCCCCCCAAGTAAAACAACTTAGAAGCCCCCTTTGTGTGGGTTGCATTCCAGCATTAGGGAAGGGGGCTCTGGGGAGGAAAATATTCCTTAGGGATTTCTATTTGGAAAAGCAGAGACTGTTAAAAGGAACCATTAAATCCGTGTTAAATGTTCCTCTTCTCCCTCCCATGCCACTGAATTCAAGACTCCAACCTATCACCACCTCTTTCTTCTCGAGCATCAGCTTAAGGAACATCACCAAGGTTTCGTGAATGACACCCCAGCTCCTTCATTTCTGGAAGAACGCCCCTCCCCTTGCACTCCTCATGCACGGGAGCCCCAAAACCTTAACGGGGAGCCATCAGCCTGTGTTCCTCACTGTTGGCAGAGTGCCTAGCTGGGCGCTCTCGGTGTTGTCTGAGGTCGCCGCTCGCAGACGTCTTTTTCATGACAAAGAATGAAATCCCATCTCTGAAACCTCTGACATTCTACAGAGCTGACAAGCGTTGGCCTCTCCGGGTTTTGGATAAGCCCCAAGGTGGGGGTGGGGGGCGCCTTCTGGCTTCTAGAACCACTACCACCAGGGGGGACTCACTGGCTGGGGGCGGCAGCGCCCTCCCCAGCCGCCTGGGGCCACTCACCGAGGCGAGGGGAGGTGATGGTGTTCACGTTGATCTTGTCATTGCAGACCTCCTGGTGGCACTGTCTGTAGGCTGCAGGCTTCAAGAGGGCGGGGCACTCGTTGCCATGGCGCCCGGTGACCTTGTGCATGCACTGCACCACGCGGGACTGAAGGCCCTTCCCACACGTCGAGGAGCACTGCCGGAGACAGGGACCGTCTGAGCTGGGGCCTAACCTGGGCCGAGCGGCCGTGACCATGGCTCTGCGAAGCAGCCGCCCCCGCGCCTGGCCCCCGCCTGTCATTCCCAGGTGCTTGGAGTAATGCGGGACGAGCGGGCTTGGCTGCACACCAGCTGCCTGACGGAGGCCTGTTTCAAGAATGTTCTTTGTCTCCCCAAATCCACATGTTGAAGCCTTAGCTCCCAAAGGGATGGGTTTTTTTTTTGGGGGGGGCACTTTGGGAGGTAATTAGGCTTAGATGAGGTCATAAGGGCAGAGCCTCCATGATGGGATTAGTGTCCTTATAAAAAGAGGAAGAGAGACCAGAGCCCTTCTTCCACCGCGTGAGGACACAGTGAGAAGGCAGCCTTCTGCGAGCTAGGAAGTGGGCCCTCGCCAAGAACCAAATCGGCCAGTACCTTGACCTTGGACTTCCCAGCCTCCAGAACCGGGACAAATAAATGTATGTTGTTTAAGCCCCCGCCCTCCCGCCCCGCCCCAGTCTATGGTATTTCATCTCAGCAGCCCAAGCTAAGACACAAGACAGTTGCTGAAATATTAAGTTACGAGGCTTGCATGTCACTTCCCACCCTCTCTACCCCTGTTCCAAGCAGAAAGCTGGGCTTCCAAATTCTTGAGCTGGCGCACAGGGTGGCTTGGTGGCTGGGCATGATGACCTCAGGCGTCTCCCCAGTGCTCTGTGCTACGTGAGGCTCTGGAGTCTTCCCCTGGCCTTGGTTATAGAGGGGAGCTCAGTCATGGGCGGGGTTGAATTTCCCGCAAGGCTGGAGAGTTGGGGCCCAGAATTAAGTGGGAGAAAAGGAAGTGCAACCTTTCTTGCATCATGGAGTCATGGAGTCACATATTATTTGTGGCTCACGGTTTTAACTCAGACACCAAGGCCCGAGTTGCTGGCACCTCCAGCCCTTGTAGACTTGGGTTTGCCAAGACCAGCCCAGCGTAACTCAGCAGACATCCCACTGAGTGTACTTGGTAGGACTTCCCCATGCAGTTCCTGCCTTCCTCCTGTCCCTCTCTGCACCCTTTTAAAGTATTCCACTGGGGAACCTGCCCGTTCCTCAGCTCCTCCGCCCTGATCCTGCTCTCCAAGCTCCTGGGCCCTTGCTTGCTCTCCCAGGAGCCCCAGGAACTGTCTTTCCAATAGGCTGGGCTCTTCCAGCCGGAAAGTCAGGTCCACAGGTGTACTCTCTCCATCTGGGATCCTCTAGCACCCACACCACCCATGATTTACGGGGTTCTGAGAGCATTCTGCAAAACTTTAATAAAGCAAAGGCCTCAGGTGCCACGGCCCAGCTGGAGTTCATGCCGGCACCTGGGGGTAAAGAGAGGGGCGCAGGGCCTGTCCTCTGAATGCCACATGGGGTGGCGATGCCAGGTGCCGTCTGGATCATGTGCCTCCCTTCCACCTGGAGGGCATCAAGGAGGGAGCTGGGCTCTGTTGCGGGGGATTACCTGATGAGTTTTTAAAAACCTCAATGTCCCAGGCCAATCGATCAGTATCCTTAGAAGGGGCACCCAGAGCTGAGAACCTCTGATTTGTCCAGAACTTCTGCCCAGTGTCCTGTGTAGAGTATAATGAGCTCTCTTTTCTTACAGTGAACTGGTGAGGATTCATATGCAAAAATGTATAATTAAGCCAGAACGGACATCCACCTACCGCCCTGCTGAGTTTATACACCGGTGACAGGTACGCTCGAATATGAGGGGGAGACGTATTTCGCTCAAAATGATTCTTGGAAAAGAGTAAATTGCCTTATACTTAAGTGAGAACAAAACCTGTCACAGTTCGGGGCAGGGATAAGGGGTGCCTTTAATTACTTGTAGCAAGATCACTTGGGGATTAAGGAAAAAAAAAAAGGAAGCAAAGAAATCTATCTCCTGGAGGCATGACTTCATAATCACAAATGAGGGAGGACGATCTAAGAAATGTTTAAAAATCACTTAAAAGCAAGCTGGTGAGGGGTTATACAAAGAGACTGGGAGTCCACACCAACAGAATGAAAGAAGGAAAAGGCTAAGGATCCTAACATAGTACAGAATCCCGCGAATGCAGAGCAGAGTCAGGCCAATGCAGAGCAAAGTCATGCAGACACAGCGCTAAGTGATGCCCCAGCTTGTGAGGGACAATCCAGTGACAGCAGCGCATACAGATTCCAAAAGAGGTGGCACCTCTGTGAACTCAGCAGTGACAGGTTATATCTGGGAGGCAGATGACTCTGAAGGCAGAGCGAGTGATCATGAAGACAGACCCGGCAAGTGTTTGGTTGCACCTTACTAAACTGCCCGTATTCACTCGTTTTTCACGCCGCACACCCAGCAGCTTCATCGGGTCTGACTTTATAATATGCTACAGAAAGAAGACAGCAATATTTCTAAGTTAAAATAGAAATATAAACCTTTAAATAGGAATGTGTAGCTACCCGAATGAATTTTGTATTTTAGGTAGGCATTTGACTCGTCCACCTCTACCATTAAAGACTCTTATATGTAAGTTGGTTGTAAAATTAAAAATAAACAAATAAAACCTGCTTCCTGGGAAAATGGGATTACCATGTACTTGGGACCCAGTATCTGTGCCTATTTGGCGCTAAACTGCGGATGTAGGGAAAAGAGATACCTATATGCATGCTGATCTAGAGGCAACATCAACATCCCTTTTCTCATCAGATCTTGACTCGGACCATGGGCCCTGGGGCCACCTGCTGCAGGAGACACGTCCATACGTGTTTTCATACTCCCTCTTGGAGAGGGGGTCCTTCCAGGGCAGGACAGACGGTGGCTGGGGCCCCAGGACACTGCACCGGCGAGTGGAGAAGGCTCCTGAAGCTATGCCTGTCTCGCTCCCATGGCACCCCATGACCACACAAGGTACCCAAGGCCCTGGCGGCTGGGCAGTCAGCCCGGCTGAGTCACTTCCTGACCAGGAACATCAGGAAGGGTTTCGATGTCTTTTGCAGGTGTTATTATTATGTATGTAAAAATCAGGGCAAGAACTCAATCCTGTGGGTCTATTCAAACCAAATGCAAAACTGACAAGGTCTCTGCCTGAAAGTGATCAATGACCATTGTAAAACTCAGGTGTCTGGGGTTGCCCTTGAAAAATGATTTCCCCTCTGAAAGTTCTTAGTCTTGTTTCACAGGCTCTAAGGCCGGTGGGGGAGGGGGATCAGGTGTGGGGGAAGGGAGAGCATTCACGACACGCCTGTGTATACAGATGGTGTGTTTGCTTATCCCGTGGGCTCGCTTGTAAGGTTCCACAATAGCGTGGAACATTCCACAACAGTCCTGAGGCTGCTGGCCACTGAGCTCAGTGGGGGTCAGTGTCTGGGCCAAGGTCACAGAGTTAGTAAGTGGCAGAGGAGGGACAGGACCCCAGCTGCCCCGTTTCATGGACCAAATTCCATCTTCCTGTATGAATTATGGCTTGACTAGCTGCACTGCAGACTCTATGCGAGCCAGGAAACAAAAAACTAGCTTACTGCCCAGGTCCTCCATTTGATTCATTATCTTTCCTAGCACAGCGTCACCGGCTTTTAATTTTCCAGCCCGGAGAAAACTGCTCCATGAGATCATGGAATGACCTCCAGAGTTCCTGCACAGAGACCAAAGTGTCTGTTCTCATGGCTCTCCTGCACCTCCATGAGGCAGGGCAGGGCCAGGTGACAGGCTGGGAGGTGACCCTAAGTGGGGGCACCTAGGGACCCTGCGGACCCTGCCCCTCATAGGGATTTGTCTTTCACATTAGGCTTTGCTAAATTTTTGCTGGCATCCTAGGGACTCTGTTCACACAGCTGTGAGCTGTGAAAGGCTCGTAGTCGTTTAGAAGAACTTTTGAGAACCTTGGGGTGTCTGAGCGAGCCAGCCCCACAGAGGCCGCTTCATTGCGTCAGGTGTTAGAAGACAAACAGTAACCAAGTGGCATGTACAGAAACTTTCACTTCAGTCCAAGCCTGCCCCTGGCCTAACATCCACGGGTAACCACACTCTCCATAGCTGGAGTCAGATTGGGGATAGAGCAGCAGGGGCAGGACAGACCTGTCAGCATACTCCATCCCTCCTTACTGGCTGTGTGACCTTGGGCAGGTTACTTAACCTATCTGAGCCCCAGTTTCTTCATCTGTGGCTTGAGGATAATAAAACTTGCCTTGTAGAATGATTGCGATGATTAGAAAAGCTTGGAACAGGTGACCAGCAGCGAGTGAGCCCTCTGCAAGTGCTACTGTTATTATTAACAGTTAGTGCTTGGACAAGAGCAGAGAGAGCGGACTGGGGAGTCCTTGGAACCCAGGAAAAGGCACTGAGCCGCTTGGCCTGCCGGCCATGCCCCGACACCAGGCCTCCGCAGGCAGGTGTGGCTGTCTGCCTTTCCCTGGCTCCAGGCTGGCAGCTCAGCCAGATAACCTCCAGGAGCACCATTAGAAGCTGACTTGACCCTGAGGACGAACGTGATTCCAGACAGGTCCGAGGGGTTGCTTTTGAACAGCATCCGCTTGTAACTTGAGCTTGCTGCATTTGAGATAACAGGGGCGCAGACCAGGAATTCCATCTCCCCTCGCTCGGCCTCAGCTTTAATTAAACAGCGAGGAGGCCACAGTGTCTCCTGCTAGCATAGGATTAGCCCCAAGCATTGCTGTGAAGCCATTCTGGGGCTTTTAAAAATCCCAGCAAACAGATACGTAAAAAACAACTCTTTTCACTGTGGGGTATTTTTTTTCAGGTCGCTCATTACATTAACATTTAACGTGGCTCCCTGAGACTCGGGAAACAAAGAAATGAAGCAGTAATAAATCCAGGCGGAAAGCTCCCTGCCAGACGACCCGAAGTGAGGGCAGCCCCTCACGCCCCCTCCCCAGCAAGTGCTGGGCCCTGGGCTTACGTCATTCTCGTTAGTCCTCAGTAATCGTCCGGCTAACCGCGGCCGTGACCAGGGCGGCGCTCAGAACACAGTAGGTGCTCAA